GTATTGTTTTTTTACTCTTATGATAACACTTTTCATTATGAAATACTTATTCACTTATGTTTGATATACTACCTCATGTGAAAGTTCATTAGCTGTGACAATGAACAATGTTTTACCAATATGTTGTTTTGGATTGTCAGTTTCCTTGTGTGGTTGGTATCGTTGGTATTTGGTTTATTTATTGCAATATTTCAATTTTCAGAGAGATGTAGGCTGCAGTATTTTGATAAATCTGAATACATCAACTCTTACCAACCATCAATCATGTGATAAATTGACGTATTCCCAATATAAATGAGATATATTCATTCAATTAGAGATTTTCTACCTAGATTTCACCAGTTCAATTGATGTTGATGTTCATTTAACGGTAATTATGGCTCGTATTGCCCTCCAAAATTTTCCAGAAATCAATATTTACATAGCTTGGAGAGTCTATAAACTAAATATTATCTAGACATATAGTTCTGATTTGGTATTATGGAGAAATTGGTCGCCAGTTTTATTTTTATTCTGTGTATTCAAGTACTAAGTTTTTCATTCAAGATGATATTTCAAGCATGTAAGCTGGTCTATTCCAATAAGCAAAATAGAAAACAAAATGCCATCAATGGGTAAAATTCATTAATATTCCATGACCAGAAACACTTTTCGATCAAAAAACATTTGGAATTATTCAAAAGTAGAAACATAAAGAGCCCAGACTACATGTTGTTTGTATTAGTCTTCTCTTCTGCATGTTGTCTATCACCAGGTAGAAATTCTCAGCAAAGAAAATGTGTCTGGTCCTCGGCATGGTTCCTGTCCACTTGGAAGCTAGTTCTTAATCTAAAGCTCTTTACTATTCTTAGCTTGAAGATCCACAACTTGTGCAGTAGCTTTTGATATGATATATTATTTGTATTCGTAGTCAGATACCAAAAGTTGTGCCAAATTTTAGTCATGGTGAACATTCTCAAAAACTGGCAGTCCAAACCCTGTGATCATTGAAATCACAGCTTGCACAGTACTTCTGATCAATGGTTTATATCAATTATATATTAGAGTAGTGCTAGTAAAAGACTGCCAGATACCAAGAGTAATGTGATATTTTGTCATGGTGATAATTCTCAAAAACTAACGATCCAAACTCCCTTTTTAAAGGGACATTTTATGTCTAGTCCTGGCCCCAAAGGTGACAAAATTACATCCGAATATCACCTCCGAATATCACATCTAGGAACTGATAGGGCCAGATTTGTAGGGCATTAACAGTCCTTGATAAAACAAGCTTGTCTTCTGCATGGTTTCCGTCTTTCTAAACCAAACCTTGTGATCGTTACAAAACACAGCTTGTGCAGTAGCTTCTGATAAATGGTTAATATTATTTATATGATATAGTAATACTAGTAAAAGACTGTCAGAAATTGGTAGAAAGATAGTAAAATAGTATTTGTACACATTCTGATGTGATGATAACATACTCAGTAAGATTAGGTACAGTCATCCAGTGCAGTGTAATTTTCTGTTTCTTACTAATGCCACTATAAATCAAGCACCAATGCTTTACATATTTTACTTTAAAGAGACTATATATTTATCATTCAAATGGATAATTACTTTAGTAATGTGACGTTTAAATGAGATTCCTTTTCAAAAAGATGCTAAATGTATTTAACTCCCTTTTTTTGTTTGTTCTTTGGTTTGTTGAGAGTGGTGGTTTTCAGTTGCGATGACTTTGAATTAGCCATCTTTTCTCTCACTAAATGTACTGTGTCACCTGTTTTTGGCAAGGCAGAGCTGGTAGAGAGGCTCCTTAAAGCGTCAAACCTCTAAAAGCATTTCATAAAATTTTCAGAAGGTTATAAAATCTTTATCTGCATGGATAGATCTTTTGACATCAATCCTTTCAAAGTAGACTTCCTTGTTACTTCCTTTGTGTTTTATCAAAGCTATCTCGTTTTGGAGAGCAGAGATGTGAAAGAAGGCATTCCTCACAAAATGTTGCAACTAAAGTTGTTATCAAAGATAATTGTTTTTCCTCAGAGAAAGCTGTGCACAAACTAATTCTGTCTGAACTGATGTCTCATGTGTGCGCCGAATTTAAGTTAAGAATTTGGAGAAATTTATTCATTGTATTGCGTCGCACAAACGATATATAATAAATCACATAAATCTGGCACTGATTCAGATTCCAATTGAAACAGATTCTTCTAAATCAGTTTAGTTTGATCTAATTTATTATTTCATTACTGGTATTCACAATTTGATTTGTCTGGTTGCAATATATACTGCTTCACTGAAATATTTCAATAATGATTTTCAAAAATTTACGTCTTGCTGAAATAGCAGAAATTGGATAATTTGTAAGTTTTTGCATGAAATAGTTTAATATGTAAAATTTATTTCTACCCCATTTGACAGTCTAAAAGAGATATTAGTGAAATTTGTCTCTAGCGATATTGTAATAAGTTCAATGTCTTTGAATTCTTTTTACTTGCTGTCAGACCATTACTACTTGTTGTCAGATAGCTTTTAGATTATCAGATAGCTTTTACACTTGTTGTCAGATAGCTTTTAAATTGTCAGATAGCTTTTAAATTGTCAGATAGCTCTTAACATGTTGTCAGATAGCTTTTAAATTGTCACATAGCTCTTGACATGTTGTCTGATAGCTTTTATCATCAAAATAACTACAAAGATTGTAATTATGTGCTTAGAAATTAAATTGATCGTATTGATATCAATAAATCAGAGTTCTTAGAAGCATTTGTAGGATTATCTGAAAGTTATGATCATGTTTATAACCATGCCCCAGAATTGAAAATATGCATATTGTGCTCTCAAGACAAATGAACTAAGGTTCACATTTCATTGCCAAATATATGTCAAAAATATGGCTTGCTTTGATTCATTCAAAAAGTTAATCACTGTGCAGGTGCATTATAAAATGTGTGGAACATTAAAATTGAGGTCATATTCGTTTAACTGTAATAAGCTGGTGCAGTTAACAAAATTTTGCTAGCAAAATAGCATTCATTTGTGTTGTTAAAGCTTTTTAGCTTATATCAAGGAGGTCCAATTCAGAATTCTTTCTTTATGTCAGCTCAACACGTGAGTGAAACCTTGATAGAAAAGCAAGTTGTACCATAGTCCATCGTCATTTTAACCATAACCCCTTATCAATATATATCAATATATTTTAACCATTCAAATGATCTTTTTGATATAAGAGGGGGTTGCCCATATTCATTAAATTTTCATACATTTGTAGTATTGGGGGTAGATATATCAGTGAATCCATGAACATTGTATCACGATACGTATCTTATAATGGCATGACTGGCAATAAACAGCACAAATTTCTTGTGTGTGTTCAAGAAAAGATGTAGACTGCCCTTTGTCAGAATCAAATCCCAAGCATGCTGAGTAACTGCAGCACTACAGCAAATTCAAATGTATTACAACTTTGTATATAAATAAATTGTGTAAAAAAGATTTGGCAATAACAAAAACCAGTTCATTCATGATAAATGTTTGTAATATAAATCTTACTATGATTATTAGAAAAGTGATTTTCTAGCTTATTTACATCATGTTTACAATTCATAAACAACCTCCTCAACATTAAAATATAGAAATACATCTAATTTTACATGTGCTGTTTATTTTTTAAACTAATTTTCTTCTAGTTAATTTTGTTCTTTTGCCAACTATTAAACCTGTACCTCTTCTCATTATTATGGAAGCCTCTGCGGCAAGCATTGTTGATTTTTTTACTATAATTTTACTAAAAGTTAGTTATTAGAAAATCTGACTAAGTAATTAAAAAAAAATGACCAACTTTCTCAAAATCTGACTTGATAACTTAAAATTTTAACTATTTCACTTGAAAAATGTGACTTCTTAACGTGAATATCTGACTTAATGACTGGATAATCTGACTTAATTACTGGATAATCTGACTTCATAACTAAAATAACTGGATAATCTGACTAAATAACTGGATAATCTGACTCAGTAATTGAAAAATCTGACTTTATAATTGGATAATCTGACTAAATTAATGGATAATCTGACTAGATTACTGGAAAATCTGATTTTATAACTGGATAATCTGACTTCATTCCTCGAAATATTTGACTAAATCACTTGGAAATTTCACTCAGTAATCTGAGACATACCTTGAGTATCTTGAATTTTTTTTATACCAAGTCACATTTTCCATTTTCCACTTCCATATAATATGCACTGTACAGACAGACATAAATTGCTAATTCTATAATTTTGAAATGTTATTAGATACTGTTTTAGAAATTATTGCTTGACTCCATATGTTGTTTTTAAATTGGTAAGAAAAATAGAATGTTGAACACTCTTATTTACGCATGTATTATAATTTGTAAACCAAGAATTAGAATAATGAAATAGATAGCTTGTATCAACACTTGTATAACAGTTGCAACAGATACAGGCTGTCCTATAAAGTTATGAAAATGTGATTTTTTTTTTATTTGTGACAGTTTTGTTTGATCCAATGATGTCCCATAATAAATGAATGGTTAGGGTCGTTCTGTTTTCAAGAAAAATCTTAATAAGACTACTTATCATATTGATCAGGTTTATCGTCAAAGTGTTCCATCAACTCTTCCTAAATTGAAAAACAGTTTATTTTATGGTGTCAACAAATGAAAAGAAATAAACTTCTGGAAAATTTTTACAAGGATAACAACTTAGGTTCAGGAGAATTTTCTCTACCGCCTACTCCTTGGCCAAACCTCTTGGTCTTGATCTATCTCAGATTATCCTACCTATTTAAAGCTGTCTGAGATGACTAGACTTCCACACGTCGACTGGGAATCCAAAACCATCAGTGGTTCAAGGTAACCTAGCTCTATAATTGACTGTAGTAAGAGATATTGATATAATAGTAATAAATGTACAGGTATGAGTCAAGACAATTTTTATGTTGAATGTTTGGATTCCTATATATTAATGTATTTTATGTTTGTATATTCCAGGCCCAGCTAGTAGATATGAGGTCTGATATAGTAGAGATACAGAGTGCTAAAGCTGTAGTAGAAAAAGAATTACATAATATGTTATTACAATTACACGCTTCACAGTTACAGTTTGCGTCTGCTAAAGGTTTAGAAGTTGATTCTGATGATATCAAAAAGAAATTGGTACGAAAAGTTTCATAATTTTATAACTGGACTATTTTAAGTTCTGCAAGTGATGCAGAGTTTTCTTATAACCTCTAATATCACTGGGTCACCAGGTTTGTCAACATGGCAACCTTTTTGAAAGTTAATGCTGTTTATTTGATACATTTTTCTGCAAATTTGCTTGCATCTGGGATGAATATCTAAATTGTTTTGAGAGATCGAGTCACTGGATTTGTTAAGTGTTGTTAACAAGCAGTCTCAGTATCATGTGAACGTCTTTGATTGTTGATTTGCCGGACATGAATGTTGGAGCATCTCAAATGTCCCACAATGTATAAGATGAAAAAACCCGGCTTTCTTTTCGTTTTGTTCAAACGATCTTAGCGCTAAGATGTCCTAGGGTCTTAACTTTTACCAATGTTCCTAGGATATCCTGGTGCTAAGATCGTTGATGCTTTATTCATAATCTAAGTAAGCTTGTATTTCATTTTGAATCATTTAGTTTAGGCCTAAAACATGATGAAGCGTGAGTTAGAATTATGAGGAAAGTGAGTTTTCAGATGAAAAACCATGTTATAAAATGGTTATTAATACATGTTTGTTTGTTTATTAGGAGGCTGAGTTACAACATCGTAAAGATGATGCTACAGGAGTAGCTAGAGTTGATGCTGAAGTTAAAGAACTACGTAAAGAAAACCATGAATTACGACAATATATCCTAGCCTTACAGAGTGAGGTATATGGTGCTAGATTGGCAGCTAAATATTTAGACAAAGAACTTGCTGGCAGGTAGGTGTCTCTGCTTTCTTTGCTCATGTTTAAAGTCTTTATATGGGAAATTTGAATTTAAAGTCTTTTGAAATTAGATTTAAATTTTATATCACATGTCCTGTTGAGAATTATATGTCTGGAACACATGTTGGTATCTTGAAATTAATTGATGTCTATTGATTGTTCCCTTTAACATTTCAGTATGTTAAGATTGAGCTATATGAGAAGTTTTAAAAGTTTGTCAATATTTAAATGCTAAAAGTCATTGAGCTTAACAGATTTTGAGTTCTAAATTTCATATTAAGACTGTTGTATGTTTTACTGTCAATATTTTGAAACATTTAACTGAAACATAGCATTGTACAAATGTCTTTTTTCAATATTGAATATTTAAAACAATTTCAACATAATATATCACTATCTAATATGTTATTTTCAGTGTTTTTTGATGTTTTATAGGATTCAACAGATTCAGTTGTTAGGTCGAGATATGAGAGGAGCAGAACACGATAAATTATGGAATCAATTAGAGGCTGAAATACATCTTCACCGTCATAAAACAGTAATACGAGCTTGCCGTGGCCGCAAACATCACAAGAAAAAGTTACCAGTACCTCCAGGCCATGTAAGTGATTATTATGGTGTAGAAAATTATGTCATTATTTAAAAAATTGAAATCCTGTGATCTATTACATATTTGATAGTTAAGTTGACATGAAATGAAATGAGATTTATCATTGAAGTTTCTGCACTTAAGAAGACTGGCAAGGTCTCGCAATGTGTAATGAGAGAAATTTTGACAGGACAGCAGCTCTTATTCAGTGTCCTACTGTCAAGGCATCTTTACTGTTGATTGTCCCATCCAAATGACCAGACGCTTTTTCTATGGTAAATCTTGAGCTATCCATCTGACTGAGCCACTACATCCCTTGAGTGTTAAGGTACCATACTGAACACTTGTTGAGTTGTTGTGGCATCAGATATTTCTTGACCTTGAGGGAGATCAGATCTTGTACCAGTATGTAAGTGATTCTTTTTGTCTATAAGGGACGACATTATACAATAGTAGATTTCTTGTGAACTATCACATATTATAAAGCTTGGTTGAATGCGTAGATATATGATACCAGGCTAAGCTCTGGTTTTGGCATCATAAAATTTCTCTGTTTTTATAGAGGTTCAAATCTAAGGCTTTAAATGAAACTCAGACTAATCAGACTTGGTTGATTACTTCTGACTGACTACTTCGTTAACCCCTTTGAACACCTGAGTGTAATTGAACTCCATGTACTATAACTTAAAGCATATGACGTTAACGTTGTGACGTCACTTGGTAACAGAAACTTTACCTGCGACTCAGGTGTATATTTCATAATTATGTGCCTGGTAAACTGATCTCTCGGGTTGAAAGGGTTAAGAATGCACCTCAGTAATATGTTCGACAATTTTGTTCCTCTAAAAACTGCTCCCTCCTAAAAGATCATATAAATAGGAAGTAATATGCATATAGGTTAAGAATGTACCTTGGGAAGTTTTTTTGATATACATCTATTTATACAAACTGTTAATGAGGACAGAAAGACATCTGTCAATAAAAACACTATGTGGAGTTATATTTTGGTTATAATATCCTGTTTATAGAAACTATGTACTAATTAACTGACAGTTATAACGTTACTATACACCTACATCTCTATACCCTTAATCCTGCCTCCAAGACATGGTGCCAGATAAAGGTCAGGAACCTAAAGAATAAGCATCTTTCTCTACCTGTAGGCTATGTTTTACTAAATGTGTGTAAAGTAGTGTCATTTATGGTAAAGTTGAAATAAAAGTTATAATATGATCTAGTAACAGACTGTTAAGGAAAAGACATGTAATTTAAGTATTTTGATGATTTTGTTGAAATATTTGCTCTGTTGTTTTGGAATTGATTAAGTTTATGTTTTATCATTGCCTTTTATAATAGTTTTCGAATGATTTTGGAATTTTCGTAAACTTGAAAACTTGCATTCTTCGCATATTTTGGATCAAAAATAGAAAAAACTGTTTTTTTCCCCATAAATTACTTAAAAATGAAGTGCGGGTAAGCCATTTATCTAGGGGGCAAATGATTCAACGAAGTCATATCAGATATTGATGGTATCTTATTAAGAGAGCAATCATCCAATGTGTGATGACATGCATGATCAGTGGAACAAAATTGTTCTGTTTTTAAAACAGAGTTTGCCAGTGTTGCCAGATAAAGATCATGTCCAAAAAAGAGATATGTTCATTTTCAAAGCAATTTAGGAATTTAACTTTAAATGATTTTTTTTTTATTTCAGGATTTTCAAGCATTAAAACGAAAACATGGCCTTGGTGATTTGAGGAAAATAAAAATAGAAAAAGGTCCAGATGAAGGTTTAGGAATGTCCATTACTGTAAGTTGATTACTTCATATTTTCTTTTGATAAAGATATTGAAAAATTTAAGAGTGAAGGATAACTGAAAACACTGGCAATGATTAGAGTATTTCACAAAAAGTCCTAAAAATAAAGGGGGCACTTAAAAACAGGCTTTTCATTTATTTCATCAATTCTAAATAGCCATTGCCTTGCAATATATGTTTCCCATATAAAAGATACATTATATCAAGTATATAATGGGACTGAACTCTGTTTCTTGATGATAATATTTCTTCACAACCATTATACAGCATACATACAATTCCCAGAAGAATAGCTAGGTGATAATACCATGGGATAATATAATGGGAATGAACTCTTTTAACTTGATGTGAATATTTTTTCAACGTAATTGATATACAGCATTTATCAGCATTCTGAGTTGTGAGAAGAATATGGTCTTTAATAACAATAGCTAGTATACAGGTATACAGGTAGTTAAAATCCTGGTTATAATTTCAGGGTGGTAAAGAACATGGTGTACCTATATTGATATCTGAAATACATGAAGGTCAACCAGCAGATAGATGTGGTGCCCTGTTTGTTGGTGATGCAATATTGAGTGTAAATAATATAGATCTTAGAAATGCTAAACATGCTGAAGCTGTACATATTCTTTCAAAGCAGGTAATTTGTTCAATATTTATTGTTTTTGGGGGATTAATTTTTATACGCCCACATCTCGCTATGTGGACGTATATTGTCGGCACCCCTGCCCATCCGTCCGTCAACATTTGTTTGTAAACACTCTAAAAACTAGATTTTTTGATGGAATCAAATGAAATTCGGTATGTGTATACATATTCATAAAACGAAGATCAAGTTCGAATTTGAGCTATTTTCGACCGTTAGAAGCAGAGTTATTGCCCTTGCCCCAAAATCTTGAATATTTACCATCCGCATTCCGTGGTGGGCGTATATGGCTGTGGTCCACTATCTTTATGGATCTGACTCAGGGTGTCTGCTGTTGATTTGGCTTACCTCTATTAATGTATCTCCACTATGTTGTTTCGATTTCGGGTTTTGTTTTGCTCTTACGTATCTATAGTATCTGGTTTATATATAAGATAATAAGCATTGAAAAAAATCTGATTGGGACATGCTGAATGATTATGTTTGTCTTGATGGCAGTTCAAGGGGTCAAATGGGAGATCTAGCTTGTTTGTTGGTTAGAGTTTCGATTGTGAAGCATTGTATAAGTGGAAATTTGTAACTAATACCCACCTTTCAAACTAAATTATGGACTGAAACATGTTTTGATTCCAGAAAGGTGAGAGAATGAACATAATGTTTGCATATTGTGTATTTATAATTGTAGCAAGGTGAAATAGAAATGGATGTTATGTTTGTGGCACCAGATGAAGATAGTGAAGATGACAATCAGGAATATGAAGATGAATATGGTTTTAGGTGAGAAATTTGATTTTCATTGATATATGCTTTCTTAGAATGGTGGGGAGCTGGATTGAGTATATCTCTCATATCCAGCCTTAATTAAGCTCAGCTGGCAATAAACTAGTAAGCTGAGAACTAGCTTGAGACATTTTGTGTTTGATGCTAGCTTGAGCCAACATGAACTAAACTGGGTGAGTGCTATCTGGAACTTAAATAGGCTGAAAGCTATCTTAAACTTAACTTTTTTGGAAGCCAGCTTGCAGTTAACTTAGAACTAAGTCTTGTTGGAAGCTAGCTTGAACTAAGCCTCGTTGAAGGCTAGCTTGAACTAAACTCTTATCAGACATAGCTTGGACCCAACATAAAAATGATGTATGAAAAATCTAATAATACATTGTAGATATAGAATATATGATGATGAAGTAATCTGTGATAGTGGTAATACTAATGATAATAGATTAGAAAATCCTATACGAACTCGGAATGGTCCTTTAACAACACCTAATGGTATTGATGTACCTCAAGCATCCAAACCAATAGATCCTTTAGCAGCTAGGTAAGCTACATCTAAGTTGTCTTTGGCCTCAATTAAAGTATGGGCATTCCAATTCACAAGCTGACAATAATAGAAAATCCTTTTGATTATCTTTTGGGTGGGTCTAATGATTATTTTTATTTCATGTTCAATAGATTGGAATCCATTTACGTGTTTCCGATGCATTGTCTTGTAACTTCAGTAAAAATTGGAATTCTTATCTTGATAGTGAGAAAAATATAGTAATTTTGAATAGTTCACCTTTTCATGTATTTCTCACATAAGTTTTAAGTCCTTATTTTGCAGATCTCACCATGGACCACTGGCAATAGAACTTGCTCTTTCATCAATTATGACGTTTCTTTCTTTGTCTTCTTATTTCAGTGCTGCACAAAAATCCTTAACAGATCCCCATCCTCATCCTGTCAGCGGTGGTGAACAGGGTGCATCTCCTAGTAACCAGACAACCACTTCACCCCCTAAAGTGTCTATAGGATCTTTACAAGCTAACAATATACAGCAACATAATGTACCCACTAGTGATACAGCAACGTTCAGTGGTAGCTATAAATAGTATCACCTATTTCGACTCTCTCCAGTGACTTACTAATTTATTAACATTTCAATGTGAATTGATAAAAAAATATATTTGGGAAAGATATTCATGTACAACCAGTGAGGATTATCAATAAATCATGAAAGCAATACTTAACTCAATAGAGACCAAGCTGAAATGATTGATATTTTCAGTTTGTTCATCCAAAAGTCAAAACAGACCCATGGCAAAACAGAAAGAACAATTTTGGCCAAACCAAACAGATGTGCATGAATGTCTTCGTCCAACTCTACAACTAATAGATCTTCTCTATTTTAAATTATTTGTACTTGATATTTGTAAAATATATAAATTGTTAAATTTGAATTCATTTCGGTGATTCAGATAGATTGTTATCAGTATTGTTAAAGGGACTGTAAAGAGGTTTCCTAAAATTTGTATGTGTATCGGGGACATCGAAAGCATCAATTTGTATCATTCCAATTTTCAATCAGATGTCTTCGGTTCCTGTTATTCCACTAAAACTAAGCATTTTATGACATCACTAATCCCAAAATATGCTGAATAACAAAAGGACTTAGTAACGTCATAAAACGCTTAGTTTTAGTGGAATTGCAGGAACCACAGACGATCGAAAATTGGAATGGTGCAAATTGATGCCATCAGTGTCACTGATATACATGAAAAATTTAGAAAACCTCTGTACAATCCCTTTAATAGCATGAGAGAGTCATTGGGTTGATGGGAAGTAGTAATAGTATTAAACTGCTGGTTAAAGTTGGAATCTTTGAGTGGATAAAATGTTATTTTGAGGGATTGTATAGATTTATTTGGTACTGCTTTGGTTTAATGTGTCCATAAGACTTTTTTTTGTTATATCCAGACCAATGTAAAAGACATTCCGTTTTTATGCTGCATTGTATTAACTTTCAATTTTGCTACATATGTTTGAATTAAGTTATTGTCTATTGAATCTCTTGTTATATCTCTAACTAAAATACCCAAAAACTGGATGGTGTAGTTGTATTATGTTGCTCATTCATTTCATTTTTATGTGTGTTTATATCTCAAAACAAAACAGTGAAACTATCTCTCTACAAATTATCTCCCTTTAGTCTTCAATTTGTGAAATATGCTCATAATAGATGATAATATGATACAAGTATGTAATAGGTAAAACATGGGCAGTGTTATTTAATCAATTAGCTAGAAATGTTCTGTAATTACCATAGTATTAGGCATGTGTTGAAGGCGGGACTAAAATGTCAATCAAAACATTTTGCAATTCTTACATTACACTTGTTCATTTCATTTCATTTGTTCATTGTTTCAGGCGCCTCCTCCTTTTAAAACCACACAACATTGGTAAACCACTATTCTATAATATTAGCCCTAAGCCCAACTTTGCAAAAGTTTTCAGATCTGTATATTATTACTAAACGTAATCTGTTTTTAGAAACTGGGGCTCAGAGTTATGTTTTTTTTGTATGTGTGTCTTAATAAATTATTTGTTGTTTAGATAATCTTTCTTTATTGTAAAATAACAAGTGTATTTTTTGTAGAAAATTTGTTTGCCTAATTTATTGAGCTGCTATGAAATACTTTTTTTATTTGAAAATTGCATATTTGTTTTCTTTTATGAAATATTTGAAATAGAGCCTTATGGATGAATTGAATTACGCAAGCTCTAGATAGAATATATTTCTTTAATTTGAAGGTGTGTTCTAACAGCTTTAAAATAAACTTGATCAGCATTCTGAATTCTAGAGTGGGTACGTGGAAACCTTCAAACAAAGCACTTTTGGTTAAGCATTACGTATCCTGGACTTAAAAAGAATAGACAATTGCAAAACAGTTGTTTTACTTGCGATTTCGGTAAAGAAATTACATTGTAAAAAATTTAAAATGTGGCATATTCTTTAAACAATGGTATACCACTTTTGTCAAATCTAACATAAATCATTGCTAAAGGAACATGAAAATATGATAAACCAATGGTTATCCATTATGCTTATTGAATTTCAAAAAGCCAATGAAATATAGCATGTCTTTTATCACTGTACACCATTGCTAAAGGAACATCAAAATGTGGTAGACCCATGGTTAAGCATTTTGTCTCTTTTGAATTTTAAAGAGCCAGCTGCAACACAACTTTGAGTCTGGCTGCCCTTTTTACTTGTGGTCTTATTTATTGTTTTGTTATTTACATTGTTAATATTTTGTTATATATTGTTAGTGCAATCTATTTGTATATACTTGTAGGTATACTATAGTAATTATTGTAAATATAGTTTTCTCTGGGGGAAATACTTGTTTCAAATGGTTTTAAAGAGGACAAAAAAGGAACAAAATAATTTAATAAATATGTTAAAACCACATGCTAGTAGTTTCTTATTTCCTCAAAGGAATACTATGTCTTAAAATGAAAATGAAATTTAAGAATTTAAACTTGGCCAATAAGAGCATATATTCATCAGTAGATTAACCTGGTGTCATAAATAACCTAACAGGGTCCTTATATAATCCGATAAATCCAAAAACTTAGAAATTATCCATAAATATGCAATTAACTATTGAATAACGCTTGATATTAAGATTAAGCATTTTTTATTAATTACTTAGTTTTATGAATTTTCCAGATTTTACAGGGATTCTGTTGTAACTTTAAGTTTAGTTCACTGATGAATACATACTCATATTGACCAGTCTTGAGAACTTAAATTTTATTTTGATTCTAAGACGTAGTATCATTTTAAATGGGGCCTAAATAAAGTCAATGCTCAATATTGAAAATCCCAGTACTCCTAACATATAAAAAGAAAATCGTTTATTGAAGATAGCATCAATTGGTTGCATTAAATGACTCAAAACAAATGTTGCATAGAAATTTTGTCAGATCATCGATTGCAATCAGTTGGGGTACAGAAGGTTTGTGCACCCCTATTTTATTTAATGATTATACGTTTTTGCGCCAAAAATTGTAACCAAAGCAATTTACTTTTTCGAAAATTTTCTTGGGAGAGCCCTCTCAGACTCATCGTGAGAGGCTTCGACTATGGCAAGCCTCGATGACAAGGAAATCGCTCAGAGAAAAAACGGAAACGTGACATCCACATTTGTATTTTTATCACATAATGGTTTCAACCTGTGACTGTGTAGGTTGAATTTTAAACTCTCAAGTGATTTTGCATGTACATGAGGCCCTTTTGATGGGTCCATATAGAAACAGAACAGTTTTCAAAGAATGAAGAGCAATGTAAAACAAGTACACAGAAGCCAAAATCGGCTTATAGTACACATTTTGTTATTGATAGTAAAATCTCATTCATAATTTATAAATAGAATCTTACAACTTTTATCAACCAATCAAAATCCAGCATTCGTATCGTCTTGATAACCAAGTCACAAATTCCATTGTTTTTCGATTAACCAACCTCAATAATTCATTGCAATTTACGCATTGATGATTGAAGAAGAGTCATCAATTACTGTAAATAGTATCTTCAACGCGTCAGATAGATCCGGGACAAAGAAAACGCCCACAAAGGAAATCGCTAGGAACGATACAGCGTCCCTTTTGAATTTATAAATCATTTTCAAGGAACTGTAGGTAAGAAAACCAAGATGTCAGACGAGAAAGTAGAAGTTAGTAGTGAGGATGTGAAACCGATTGTCAGTGAAGACCAAGTTGAAGAAGAGTTGATGTTTTTATCACCTGAATGTCCAGTAAGAAAAATAACAGTCTATGCTGACAGAGCAGAAGTTTGTAGAATAATCAATGCTAAACCTAAGAAGGGAATCAATGAAATCATCCTGAAGAATTTACCAGCATGTATTGATGGAGACTCTATCAGGTATATTTTTTAATTAACTCTACAGGTAGTCAATATTATTTTCATTGAGGTGTAGTTTTTCATCATTTAAGATTAGTAAAAATACTATAACTCTTTATTTTACATAGGTCAGAATTAAGCCCAATACACAAGGACATGTTCCTGTCTAATATTCAACCCATGGGGACAATATATTCAATGAAATAAAAAAAAGAAAAATCTAAGATAGCCCGAATGTCTAACCTGGTTATGAGATTTTTGCCGGAAAAATTTGCTTTTGGTGCTGCGAAGGGGGGGCGGCTAACCCTTCTGCCCCTCTCTTGGCTCCGCCACTGACTCCCGGTTAAGTCAAGTCTGCCCCTGATTTGTACCTCCAACCTCAAAAGGTGGCGCCACACTGCTGTCTAACTAGCAGTTAGTAAAGCAGCAATTTATTAGATATATAAAAGACAAGTAGATAGGTAAAATACAAAAATCAATCCAAAAATAGTGCTGGCAAGTTAGGCCTATATCGGTGAAGCGCTTAATAGCGACAAGACATGACATGTGAGTTAGTTATCCATAAAAAAAAAAGTACGAAATGAAATCCTACTTTGTGATCTATCTAATTGATAAGAACTTATCTTATCTCAATCTTCCCAGTTCTTCCCTATAGAATAGAATCAAACCAACCCATTATGTCCTATCCCCTAATCAGAAACATAATTTAGACGTGAATGTTGAAAACAAAGTTCTGTTATGTGGTCCATAGAGGACTACATGAGAGCCCTTTATATAGGCCTAATTTAGAAGTCCTTAAGAAAAGTAGAAGTTTCTTTTAAAAATTGAATTCAATATTTTATTCAGTAAAATATGAAAAGAATTAGGTAACAGGCCTCCAAGTTTATTAACTCTCCCCCGGAAAATAGTTAAAAAATAAAGATAGTTTAGTTTAATAAGAGTGACAAATAAATAGGTCATATTATTCAGCTTAGATATTCTTACAACGTAAATAACAATCTAATAACCTAGATGTGATAATATTTACTGTCATTTGTATGTACACAATATGTTACAATGACATTAAAGGCCATGGTTCACCTATTTCTGAGGTCTATCGCACTTTGGTCTCAGAAACAGGAATTGTTCAGCTGAGCCAGCAGTTTTCAACCTGGAGGTAATTATGAAATTGTTGGTGGGTAATGAGACACTTTGATTGCAGATACCAACAGGGTCTCCAAAATTAGTTCAGTCTCCAACAAGTCTTCAAGACACCCATGGCTCTGCGGCTGATCAGTCGTGCCAGTCACGTAGGTGTCTCCACGAGTGAGATAGGCCCTTAATCAGTAATACTATTATTTATTCAGACCTAAATCAGTCTGTGAAAATGGTGGACCCTGGACTTTAAGTCTATTTGCTATTTAAATTCTTGGTGGTTTTTTTTTTAATATGCCCTGAGAATTATTATTAGTTTTCTTTTTGGTTATAATTTAGTTATAGGCCTAAGGACAGTTTAAAATATATTTGATATTAGTCATCAGATAATTAGGTTATTGAAGGATGAATACTTTCACTTGACATCTTTTCTTTGACTGCCTAATGACCTATGTGTACTGAAATTGACTTGACCAGTATAAGATAATGATATTAAGATTAAGATGGTAAAATAGTCAACCCTTACATTTAATTTTTGGTTTAAGCAAATCTTTCTAGAATCACCAGAGATTGTCCTTTGATATAGATAGTATATTTCAAAAACAAGCTGTTCTGAGAAACAATTTCCAAAACTGGACTATTTTCCTCCAAGAAAAGAATAAAAACAATATTGATGAATAAAAACAATATTGATGAATAAAAACAATATTGATGAATAAAAAATAGTATAATTTTGCTAAATCAATGTAATAGAATACAATCATAATTTGAACACAATTTTTATTATTTTGAAGCTAAACTCATTAAAGGCTATGAACAGTATACAGTGTTTACATTCTTTTATAGGGTTGAAGGTAAAGGAGAAGCCACCATAGAAGAGGTGTCATACCAAGTAAAATATATCCCTAAAGACCAGGCTGATTTAAATGAGAAACAGAAGGAATTGAAGGCTCTAGAAGTTGAATTAAAGAAAGAGAAGGAAGATTTGGCGTCTGTTTTGAGTTTAGTTAAGCAGCAATGGGAAGTTCTCAACAATTTTGCAAAATCTGCAACGGCTGGAATTCCACTTCAGGTAACCAATTCAACAATTTTGTCCACATAACTGATCAGACCAATGGACATTATGTCAAAACCACGCCCTCATTTGTCATACTTTGTCCAGACAAGGGTAATACAAGGGAATTATTCATAGCTAAATATTGTCCAATCAAATCACTGGTTCTAGATGCTTTGTTTGCAATCGTAAACAAAACAAATGCAGCACGTCATTAAATGTTTTGATTGATTGGCTTTAGTTTAATATGGGTTAATAAGACAGTGTCAAAATCCGTATTTGGGATACAATGACCAATAACTTGGTTGTCCTATTTGCAGAAATGATATTTAAACTACTTTGAATAATTTTTTTTTGAAGGAATCTGATAGGATGGAAACTATTCTCAATGAATCCTATTTTGCTGGAATTACAAAGTTCCTGAGTTTGTACAAATCAGAAGGTTCCATTCTAGAAGATTCGAGAATAACTTTAGAGAGAAAAATAGAAGATGTTAACAACAGGATTGCCGCAAATCATAAAAACATTGGTCAGATTTTTAATAGGACTGCAGAAGAGGAATCAAGGTACGGACTTCGGTTTCTTATAATGATTCAAATTTGACCAGAGACTTGACTTTTAACTGAAGAAAATTTGAAAATTTTGTCAATGTACAAGAGGGCTGTCAATAGATCTTAACTGAAGTGGATATATTAAACATAAAAGCTAACAAAAAAACTGAAATTTGCAATGCAGTGATGAACACTGGCTCTACACATCTGGAAGTGGGGATTGGAAAACTCCTTCAATGTGTCCATGTCAGTCATTTGAACAGATTCTATCAAAACTAAAATAATGCAATCCTGAAACAAGTCTAATTTACTTCATACAGCTATCACCTTTCAACAGGGATAACTGCAGAAATGACTCCCCTTGTGGTGATGCACTTTAAAACACCCATTAGGCCTATCATTCTATCAAGAATGATTGACTCCCATTTCCATATTCTGTCTCCCAATTAAAGAGTATAATTTGGTACATTTCAGAGAATGTACTATTGTCATTGATGCTAAAACAGAAGTACCTGTAGAATTAGATGTGTCATACGTAGTTACTGATGCATCCTGGGTACCAAGTTATGACATCAGAATGTTTACGTCTGAAGGCGTCATGAAGGTAATATAACAATCTCATGAAATTAGATTATGCAAATTGATTAAATTTATGGCTCAATGGGTCAATCCATTTAAGGTTGTTTTTTTGATTTGGCATTTGCATGTATGTTTTGATAACAATTTTTTTCTTGTAGATTATGTATTATGGACAGATTCAGCAATCAACAGGTGAAGATTGGAATGATGCTAAGATATTTTTATCGACAGCCTCTCCGAGTATTGGAGGTACGGTACCTGACCTGGAATCTGTTGTATTGTCATTACGTGATAAATACCGGCCAGTAGCCAAAGGGTAAGTTGATCTATTGCAAATTTTACATGAAAATTACTTCTGCTGGCCCCCAGCCATCTTATACTTATACTCGTACTACAATAGCCGCCTTTCTTGTATCATGGAAGTTCGTAAATGCAGTGATTTGATTGGATTGTATGCCAGCAAAAACAGCCAATCAGAGGTCTTGACAAAAAGTCTGTAAGCACTAAGCCATAATTCTAATGTCTTTCTGTCAAGAGTTCTGATTGACTGAATTCGCTGCCTTACAATCCAATCAAAACGTTGCATTCCGGGTTACAAGAAAGGTGGTTATTGGAGTCAAGGTATAAGCTGAAGGTTGTAAATGATTCATATTGTAAAGATGAGCCACAGCAAACTGTAGTGTATATTCTCCCTGCATGAGACTTTTCAGCATTTTGATTAGGTGACATCCATATAAAAACTTGTCTAGTTTATTAGCTTAGATATTTTGTCACTCCTATATGATTTAAAGTGACCAAAGGAAAGGAAACATATAGGAAAATATGTTGAATTTTTTATAGCACAAATTTATTGTAAGAAATTCTTGCTCTGACTTTACTAAGGATGAGGCCAACATTAGTCTGAAGAATTTGTTTGTTTTTTGTTGTACCATAGTACAGAAATTTCTATCCCAAGCCATACAGGGTCTAAAATATTTGATTAATGATAAATATGTAGATTATTATTCTGACTAATTCATTTTAATGCTTTGCTCTGCATGAATAATATGAGATAAACCAATTTAACTTAACTTGACCAGTGGCGGTTCCATTTTCCCGAGATACATATGGGTGGCAGATTGACTAAATGAAGGAACAACTGTAGATGTTGAGATTCCAAATTTGGCAAATCCAAGGAAATGCATAGGCGCATAGAGTGTCTGAAAGGGTTCTCCACCAAGAAAAATTTTTTAAAGTAAAATAGATTTGGTGCAACAAAGTTTGGTACTTAAATGTATAAAAATGATATTTTTGTTTTTTAAGAAATCAAGTCTGGTTACAAGCAAATGCCTCCCCTGTGCCCTGGCACGGCCACTGAACTTAACATATCCCTACTCAACTTAATCCTATAATCTTTTTATTTTTATCTTGTTTTTTTTTTTTTTATGAATGTTCTAACTATTACTCATGTGTTAATATCATTAACAAACATCATCATGTAGTTGGGTTCATTTAGTTAACCTATAAATAGCTTACTTTGTTTGAAATCTTTCAGTCTTACTAAAAAAAACTCTTGATTATTCTGTGTTCTTTTTTCTATGGGTTATTTCCATTCATTCATTATTTTCCATGTCTCTCAATCCAGTTCTAATCAGGTCCTTTATATTAATCAAAGGTGAACCACTTTAAAGGCAGTTTACGATACAATTCTTGGGACTGTTGCTACTTGCTTGCAAAAGTGATTCTGATTGACAGGAGAGTTAAAAAAAAATATGAAATGAATTTTAATTAGACATATACTCATTCAAAGTGTCCATTACTGAAAATATCATTTGAGATAGACCTGAAAAAAAGTCACAATTGCTGTCTTGCTTTGTTCTAGATCTAAAAGAATAACAAAATTAGATGTTAGTAGAAATAGTATAGGCTTCTGCCTAGGTCAAGATCTTTGAACAAGTTTCTGCTTTCATTTTGTTTTAGCTTTTTCTCAAGACATAAGGGAA